GGCACTGGAGGATTTCACCTCCATCACACAGATCACAGATTAAATCCTTGGGAGGTTTTTGCAGGAAGACCATGATGTAGATGCCCAGGGAGGGCACAGGCAGTGACAATGGGGGTGTGAGTCCATGACATGCTCTGCCCACCATCCCTTCCCTTTCCAGTATCCAGACCCTTGAACATATGATCTTGCCAGAAGGGACCTTTTGAGTGTCCCTGCCACAGTTTCCCCTATTCTTCAGCCTGGCTCTACTCATATCACCTTCTCTGTGAAAGACATTTACCTTCCAAGGACTTGTCATTGATATTTTTGGGGCCTCCGGAATCTTTCAGGGCTGCAACAAGACATTTCATGGGCTATGCAATTGAGCAAAGGCTTTGTTTGTCAGCATTCCCAACTTCTCCGTTCTGCTTTATCCCCCACCTTCTAGCTGACAAGGGGGTGATCAAAGGGTGGACTCAATGATCTTGGAGGTCTTTTCCAATCTAGATGATTCTGTGATTCTCCCTCTCTGGAATTCTGTTCCTCTCTCACCTTGCCTCATTCCTCCCTCCTTTCCTCCTTCTCTCCCTCTTTTTTCCCTCCCAGCTCCAGCACTTTCTCTCAAGTACCTTCCTCTGAGCTGCAACCAGAGGAGAGAGCCCAGCCTCTGGCATTTGCAAGTGCTCCTTGGTGTCCCTGGAGCACCATGTCCATTTCACAGACAGCTTCTCTGTAGGATTCTCAGCAGCTGCTGCATCCCTTCCCATTCCTATGCTGGTCCTCCTTTACCAGACAAAACACAGCTCTCCTTCTCTCCTCCTCCTTCCACCCCATCCTGCCTTTGCAGCCAGAGAAGTGGAACTGCTACCACTCTTATCCCAAGGTCACCCTTTAAGCAAAGCTTGCCAAGCAGGAGGCTCCCTGAATGCCTGGGCAGATCCCAGCACTCAGAAGATGTGCACCAGGATGAAGAGGCACGCTGAGCACCTCGTGTGTCTGTCCCACCTCTGATTTGTGCCCTAGGTGCACACCACAGAGGGCTCATGTCCTTGTGAGGGGGTTCTCTGCTCCCAGAGGCTGGAGTGAGAGCTGGGGCAGCTCCTGGATCCACCATGGACCAGACAGGATGCCCACCCTCAGAAAGCAGCTGGGGTCTGTCAAAAACAACAGCATCTGTGTTTCCCTCCTCCAGTTTGACCTGGTGTGTGAAAGGACGATCCTGAACGACATCTCCCAGTCCATCTACATGGCTGGGCTTCTCGTAGGAGCCAGCTTCTTTGGGGTGCTAAGTGACAGGTGAGGAAACACAGTCACCTTCCCAGAGTCACTGCCCAGCACTCAGGGACAGCCCAGCTGAGGGTGCAGACTGTGCTTGCACTGGTCATGAACTACTCCCTCCACAGACTCAATCCCCTCGCCTGAGCAAGGGCATCTGGAGCCACCTGACACATCTGTAGGTGTCTGATGGTTGAAAAGAGAGAGGGGCAGATACAGCCTTGTGGGGAGGTCTGTCAGGACTCACAAGTCCAGCCCCAGCTGCTGTCTCAGCCTTTGAGCAACAGCTCAAAAGTGGAGATGCTGCTTTTTGTGCACGTTATTTCTTGGGCTGTAAAGAGGAACTTTGTTCACAGGGATGTAAAATCTCCTCTGGTTTTCAAATCACTTTGTATTCCACCTGGGTTCTTCCCTATCCCCTTGGAGTTTCTCCAGATGCCAACTGTGTCTTCTCTCTTTTCCCACAGGATCGGCCGCCGGCCAGTCTTTCTGATCTGCATGCTCCTCCAGGGCGTGTTTGGTCTAGGAACTGCCTTTGTGCCCCATTTCTATGTCTACATCGCCTTCAGGTGTGTCGTGGGGGCTGCAGTGTCAGGAATTATGATTACTGTCGTGGCCGTGGGTGAGTAGGATGCCCTTGCCCTGAGGCAGCAGTTGTGGCCTCTCAAGACACAATAACAAAAAAGAGCTGGACATGTTTTGGAGAGGGTGACCCCGAAATTTTGTTCTTCTTTCCAGGTACAGAGTGGGTTGGAATCTCCTACCGGCCTAAGGCAGTGCTTATTGCTCACGCCGCTTTTGCCATCGGACAGATGATGGTGGCTGGATTGAGCTATGGAATCCGCAACTGGAGGCTGCTGGAGATTGCAGGATCCGCTCCTATGTTTGCCCTTTTCTTCTACATCTGGTAAGCAGGAGTTGGGCAGAGCTTCTGTAAGACACAACAGCAGTGTGAGGGGTGGAAGTGAGGAGGCAGCAGCAGC